CGCTGCAGCCGCGCCAGCTCCCGCTGCTTCTCCTTGTACAGCCGTTGCAGCTCCGCCAGCCGCACGCGCATCTCCACCTCCTGTGTGTCCAGACGCTCGATGGCTGCCTTGAGTGGGCACACCTGTTGGGTGGGGCATGCAGGGCGATGAGCAGAGCCGGGGTGCCAGGGGCTGCTGTTTTGGGGAGCTCTAGGTCCCCCACAAAGGGCTCAGCTCTCTTGAACCCACGCAGTGGCCAGTATGGTGCCCAGGGTTCTCCACTCACAGGCTTCACTTTGGGGGTCCAGGTGTCCTTACGCTGCAGTATCTGCATGCGGGGTGTGAGTGCAGGTCTGCCGCCGGGGTTGGCAGCAGGGGCCGGGGCTGTGGGGGCGGGGCTGTCCAGACCTGCAGCCTCCACCAGGGACCAGGCTGTGGCCAGTGTGGCCAGGTGCTGCAAATTGAAGGCCAGCACGTCTTCCTCCTCCTCTGTGTGGGGAGAGAAAAAGGTCAGTGTGTGCTTGTGTACATGAACACGTGTGCCCACGGGTGGGTGTGTGCATGGGTGCAGGTGTGAGCACGTGTGGGACTTGGGCATGTGCACGAATGTGAGCATGTGTATATGTAGGTATGTGTGCATGCACACGAGTATGTGTGAGTGTACACACAGGTGTGTGTGTGTATGTGTGTATGCATGTGTACATAGGGTTGTGTGCATGTGTGCACAGGCATTTGTACGAAGATGTGTGCACTGGTGTGTGTGCATGTGTATGTGTGCATGTTGAATACGAGCTTGTGGGGGAGGTATGTGTGCACAGGGCCCCCAGGCTGTCTCCCGACTGGGGCCCAGGCTCACAGCCAGGCACCTGCCACCATCCGAAACAGGACAGGCTCTTGACAGCCGCCACAGACTCGGCAGCAGCCTGGATGCCTGAGGCTGCCGAGCTACCCAGGATGTGAGGTCAGAGCCAGGGCCAGGCTCTGGAGCAAGCACCAGCACTTGCCTCGACTCTAGGTGAGAGACCCCCAGGGTACTCCTACCCCCTGTGCAGGACAAAATGCCAAACCAAGCATCTAAGTCAAAGCAAGTGTGTGTTCCCAGCTCTATCAGGTACTGTCCGTAGGAACCACCCACTCATGGGCCCAGGCCTCGGACACTTGGGCCCTGGAGGTTCAGGCCTTGGTCCTCGGACACTCAAGGCAGCTCTAGACAACTGAGCCAAGGCCTGAGAGAGGCCCTCAGGACAGCCACGAGTTGATGCACTGAGGCCTGAGAGTCAAGTTCAAAGGCAGAGGCAGGTGCCCTGTGTGACTGAGCCTTCAACACAGGAGCACTCTGGGTCTGATCGCTGACAGCTAAGAGCTGTCCATCCATCCGTCTGTCCGTACACCCATACAGCCACCCATCACTGGGGCTCCACCCACAGAGGCCTGGAAAGCTGCCTTTCCCACTCCCTGCTGCAGGTCCCAGAGGGCACGTTCTGGTCCTGGGATGAGCAAGAGAAGGTCCCAGGAGCAAGAGAAGTGACCTTGTGGTGGGCAGCCAAGTGCCACCAGAGCACCTTGAAATTGGAAAGGAAGAAGTAAAATTATCTCTCTTGACAGATGACTTGTTTTTATATATAGAAAATCTTAAAGAGTCCACATGCACTCACAGAAAAACTGTTAGAGCCAACCCGAGAACTTAGCAAAGGTGCAGGATACAAAAGTCTACACACACAAACCCTATAACTTAGGACTAAATTTAAGTAAGGAGCTCTGGTGGCATAGTGCCTAAGGCACCTGACTGCTAACCAGAAGGCTGGCAGTTCAAACCCACCAGCCACTCCTTGGAAGGAAGGTTGGGCAATCTACTTCAGTAGTGATACCGCCTTGGAAACCCCAGGAAGGGTTGCTATGAGTTGGTTCTGATTCGACAGCACATAACAATAACAACAACCAATTTAAGTAAGAAAGTGAAAGACATGTACATAGAATAGTACAGAACATCACTGTAAGAAATTAGAGACCTAAATAAACACACGGACATCCGTGCTTGTGAGTGCTGAATGCTGACCAGCTGCCTATGGGACCAGCTCCGACTCGAGTCCACCCCTACGTGTCAGAGTAGAACTGGGACCCACAGGGGATTCAGTGGCTACTTTTTCAGAAGCAAAGCACAAGGCCTTGGACTCAAACTGCCAACCTCTCAGCCAGCAGCCAAGCACATTAACCATTCACGTCACCAAGGGACATTAAGCTCCAGAGTCACATAGAGACGTAAGGCAATCCAGGTAAAAATAGCAACAGCATTTTTTTTTTTTTTTTTTTGCAGAAATAGAAACACTCTTCCTAATATTCATACAGAATTTCAGGGGGACCCAGAATAAACAAACCAACCCTGAAAAAGAAGAACAAAGTTGGAGGACTCATACTGCCTGACTGCAAAGCTTAACACAAAGCTACAGTAATCAGAACAGGGTGGTTCTGACGTAAGTACAGAGATATAAACCAGTGGCATAGAGAGTCCAGAAAAAACCCATACAGTTAGAGTCAACTGATATCAACAGGTTCATTCAATAGGGAAAGAACAGTTTCTCAACAAAAGGTGCTGGACCATGGCTCTCCACCTACAGAAGAATGACCTGGAGGCTTACCTCACACCATATACAAAAATCACTCACCATGGATCAAGACCTAACTCTAAGAGCTAAAATCTGGAGCCTTACCTCACACCATATACAAAAATCACTCACCACGGACCAAGGCCTAACTCTAAGAGCTAAAATCACGAAACTCTTAGAAGAAAACATAACGGAACATCTTCATGACCTTGGATTTGGCAATGGCTTCTTAGATACAATACTCAAAGTACAGGCAACAAAAGAAGAAAGAAAAAGGTAAATGGGACTTCCTCCAAATTAGAAACTTTTGTGTATCAAAGGACACTATCAAGAGCGAGGAAAGAAACCCACCGAAGAGAGAAAGTATTTGCACTCACGTATCGGATAGGAGCTCTGGTATCACAGTGGCTAAAGCACTTGACTGCTAACCAGAAGGCTGGCGGTTCAAACCCACCAGCCACTCCTCGGAAGGAAGGTTGGGCAATCCTACTTCCA